CTAGTGAGCAGGAGGGCTGGGGTTCCAACCCACGTGGCCCAGCTCCCAAACCCACTCTCCCACTACCTTACAGCAACACCCGGGAGGTTTGTGGGATTCCTACCCACCCCCAAGGGATCTGCAGGCAGAGTGTGTCACACGTGGTCAGTGTTAGGAGGCTGCAGACACTGCATCCAGTGCAGCTACTCCCAGCCCTGCATCATGCTGAAGATAGCCCTCCAGGAGGTGGGTGTGCCACCCTGGGCGCCAGAGCCTTGGAGGGGAGATGCCCAACACAGGCCTGGGAGTCAGAAGGCACTTCGTGCTCTGACCTCTCTCATTCCAATTGGGACCTGCTCTGTGGCTCCACTGGGCTCACAGGCCATGGGGGAGGAGCTGCTCTTTGTTTCCAGGCAGGGGAGGGGTTGGCTGCACTCAGGCATTGCCACCATGAGCATCCTGACACCTCACTGCTCTGTTACAGAGAGTGTGGAGTGGAGACAACAGGACATGGCGGAGTCAGCTCCCATGGCTGTGGCCAGGAGCAGGGAGCCCATGGGGGAAGCGAATGGCCCATTAGCGCTGGTGGTTGTGGGAGAGAAGGGGAGAGGGGAAGCTTAACAGATGAAAAGGCCAAGCTGTGGGCAGAAAGCAGCACCCAAGAACAAAAAGGGCAAAAGCACCAACAGTCCCCGGCAGGGTCCCATGGAGACAGGTCGAGCCTAAGCACCACCACAATCTCCAGAGGTTTCTGAAGCACCCATCTCAGTCAGCGGGTCCCTAACTTCTCAATAGGCAGACAGGCCAACCCCCACCCCAGCAAGTGTTAGAGGTGGGAGGAATAAGGAAAGGAAATCATCGTCAGGATGGAGGGGTATTTTATAGGCTCCCTTCCGTACATGCTGGTCTCAGACACACGCAAGGTGTGAGACCCTCGGAGGCCGCCTCGCTGCTCTGACTGTGTTTCTGCTCTCCTCTGCTGCAGAGAGAGGTCCATCTGGAGGGCACAGTCCAGGGAGCAGTCATTTCCTTCCCACCAAACTGCGCTGGGCCACGTGGTTCCTGGGCTGCAGATTCCTAATAATTTCCCCAAATCTTCCTGCAGTTTGGCAAACAGGAAACCCAAACCTCAAATGACACCCCATAAAAATGCCCAAAATATTCAACTAAAAAATACCATCGACTTTCGTTTAGAATTTGTTTTAGAGATTCCTGCACTCAAGATTGCGGCCATCTATTTTTAGCTGATAAGCCTTAAGCTCCATTCTACCTAGGCCTGAAGTTCAAGGGACTGGAAGGCTTCACAGATTGCCTTTTATTTCTGGCTTGCTGTGTCAGCCGGAGCTAAATTATTTAACTGAGCTGTGCTTGTTTTGGAGAAGTAACTCGAGTCTGTCTCTTGAGGGTTTCTAGGACACTTAGGGTAAAAGCCAGGATGGAGGACATTGGCCGGGGTGACTCTTGCAGAGTGTCCCTGCTGATGGGAGTGTTGAGCATCGACTCGCTCTCCATGACTGCGGGTGATGGTAAGGTGCACCATCAGCTCACCAAGCAACCACCAGGGCAAAGGCGGGGAGTGGGCAGATTTCAGCAGCATTGTGACCATTGTGACTTAAGAACACACACACCCTAACACTGAGGGCCAGTGGTAATGCCCACTTTCCCAGCTGGGAGGCAGAAGTAGGACTAGGAAGAGGCGGTGGCTTCTGCTGCGAATATCACACAGAGCATAGCCACCTGCCTCATGGGCACAGCCCTGGCTTCACTGGTGTGCCTGCAACCTGGGACATGGGTGTGTCACACAGCACCTGCATCAAATTTCTTTATGAAATTCACTTTTTAAAAAGGGAGATATTTCATTCTTTTTTGAGACAGGATCTTTCTGAGTTGCCCAGAAATTGCTGGCCTTGAACTTGAGATCCTCCTGCCTCAGCCTCTGGAGCAGGTGGGATGACAGGTATGGCCAAGGTGGGAGGTTTTGTTCTTTTTTTAATATTTATTTTTTAGTTGTACTTGGACACAATAAATTTATTTTATTTGTTTATTTTTATGTGGTGCTGAGGATTGAACCCAGGGCCTTGCATGTGCTAGGAGAGCACTCTACCACTGAGCCACAACCCCAGCCTGGATGTTTCATTCTTAACCACACAGTGCCATGCCCCTTTCCCTGTGGCCTCCCTCCAGTGGGCTGTTCCTGTCCCTAGGAACCGAGCCAAGCAAGGGCTGCTACCCTCTCCTACACAGACTCTAGAGCCAGGAGAAAACTTGAAGTTCTATTGCAGCATTATGTAAAAGGAGAGAACCAAGGTTCAGAGAAACCAGTGACTTCTCTCTATACTTATGGTCATGGCAGAGTTGGGTCAGAAAGCGGATCTTTAATAGATGATGTTGACAATTGTTAGCAATCGCTGTGGTAGGAAGCCAGTCCTCCAAAGGGGCAAAGCCCTAGGCACTATGCAGTACACAGCTGGTTCAGGTTGTGGAAATGGGGCAGCACAGATTGAGGGCGCACGAGGAATGCACAGCTGCAGGAATTGGATGTGTTAGATAAGCATCCTCCTCAGGGGAGACAAAACCATGCTCAGCCTGAGCAAAGGAGGGGCTTACTGTCAGTCCCCTTACACAGGGTGCCCTTCAGGAGGCCACCCTCCCAAACCCAAGCAGTGTGGTCCTGGGTGCGAAAGTGACAAAGCAGAACAGGAGTCAGGTAGAGCGGTGGTCAGGGACCAGCCTGTTCCCCCTGGAACTGCAGGAGGCATGACTTCCCCTGAAGTCACCAGAGAGCTGGGCTGGGTGAGTGAAGTCCTGCTTGAGTCACCAAAAAGTGCACTTTGAAGTGCCTTCAGTTGCACTTGGTGACTCTGGGTTCCATAGCCACTTTCTCCTGGGCTTATCAAAGCATTGCAGGCAGGATCGGGCTCCAATCACAGAAGGCAGATTAGGACAGGGTTGTCACCATCTCCCACTGGGGATACTGATGTCTGGGGCTTGCTGAGCCAGGTTGCTTAGTCCAGTATGGTGTCCATCTGGCCTCAGGTCGGCCTGCTCTTGAACCTTGTGGCCGAAGCAAGCTGCTCAGCAGGAGTAAGGCTGAACTGAAGATGCACAGAAGATGCACAGAAGCCGCGGCGCCCGGGTTTACGAAGATCCCGCTTGGTTCCCATGCGTGCGTTTGTTATGATCCCAGACAGGGAAAGCTTAAGCAAGCTGCTGGGGCGGGCACCTTGTCCCTAGGGAGTCCTGACTTCCGAGGTCTGAGTCTCTTTGGGGCGCAGCGCCGTGCCCCTCCCGGTGGGCCGTTCCCCTCCCGAGGCTCCGGGCCACGCGAGGGCTGCCGCCTCCTCCTACCCGGGCCGCAGCGGCGCAGCGCTCGCAGCGCACTGGCAGACTCCGACCCGCTCCCTGGCGCCGGCGCGGGCCTGCGGTCTTTGTTTGGAGTACCGGGGAGCCCGGCGTCGCGCGGCTCCGCAGGCACAACGTTCCTAAACACGGTTTCCGAATTTGCGTGGGTTTCCTGCCAGCGCGGACTTCCGTGGGCAGAGCCACCGCGCCAGCCCTTCCCCGGCGCACCCGCACCGCCCCGCGGTGGAGTCGGAGCCGCCCGGCGCGGGGATCTCGCATTCCTGCCGCCCTGCAGCCCGGACGGCCCCGCGCGGTGCCCAGCCGAGGCCAGCTCGCGCGCCTGCTCTGGTGGGACCAGGAAGCTGGTTCTGCAAAGCCCACTTGTTCTCGCCCGGGGTGCAGACCCCGAACCGCCCGCGGACGAGCACTCCCAGGCGAAACCAGGAGACAAAATGGCTTGTGCTTCGATTCACATGTAAAACCTCGCCCTTTGGCTCCAGGTTGTCCGACATTTTGTGACTGGCTTTTTTTCTTTTTCTTTTTGCTTAATCATGATTTAGGAAGCCGTGTCGCTGGTCCCTTTCTAAACGGCTGACCTTTTAGGACTTGGTTTTTGCCCTTTTATTCTGGCGAGCGGGGACCAGGGACCGAACGGCAGGGGCGGGGCGGGGCGGGGCAGGGCGTAGTGCTAATTCTCGATGCAGTCTCCATGCAAATAATGGGTTGTTATTAACAATGATCCTCCCTGCGAAATCCTCGAATTGCCCCTTGACTCTCAGCAGCGAGACGCGAGCCCCTATTCGCTGAGCTGGCGCCTCCCCCTCCGCCCTGTTACTCCCGGCTCGGAAAATTACAACTCCTGGGCGCGCGGCGCGGCGGGCGCGGGAGGCGGCGGGGCAGGGAGGGGATTCCCGAGCCAGCGGGCGCTCGCCCCCCGCCCGCCGCCGCAGCGTCGCGCGGCCAAGGTCAGGGGCGCCGCAGGAGCAGCGCTTCGAGCCAGGGACGTGGGTCAACGCCGGCCTCGGGGAGGCAGCCCTAGGCGCAGCTGGCCCGTCTGCAGCTGAGGGGCTGCCGAGGTGGCCCGGCACAGCGGACCCTGCGGGCGAGCTCGCGTTGCGCACGCAGGAGCTGGGACCCCACGGTCACTGTCCGCTGGCAGCGCTGTCCGCCGCCTCATAGTGCTGAACCAGCCCGGGCGGAGCGGCCTGCGCTCGCGCCCGATAGGGGCGGGGCCGGGGCAGAAGGAGGACTCGGGACACCCGCCCCGCGGAGCCAGGAGCTGAAACAGAGCTGGCCAACCTCAGCCGACCGCTGGTCCGGTGTGCAGAAGAGGCTCGCGGCAGCCGGCGGAGGCGCTGCTGATTCATCTCCTGGAGCACCTCGCAGGCCACCGAGACAGCAGCCAACAGCCTCTGGACTCTGGCCACAAGCTGAAGGAGCTGGTGCAGGAGCCTTGTGGGCAGGAGGTGAGGACCCCTCCCTTCCATAGCCCCCAGGAGTCTTAGGGCGGTGGCCGCAGGACAGAGAGGGGCGTGCCCCAGTTTGTCAAGGAGGCAAACCCGTGTGATGCCCAGGCCTTCCGTCTCACCGGCGCTGACCACACTCGGCCCCCGCCGCCCGTTTCTGAAGCTTCGGCCATTCTTCCCCGGCCGCGAGCAGCTCAGACTGCGGGCGCGGCGATGGAGGAGGAGCTGAAGTGCCCGGTGTGCGGTTCCCTGTTTCGCGAGCCCATCATCCTGCCCTGTTCCCATAATGTCTGCCTCCCGTGCGCTCGCACCATTGCTGTGCAGACCCCGGACGGCGAGCAGCACCTGTCCCCACCGCTCCTGCTTTCCCGGGGTGGCGCCGCCGCCGCGCCCCCTCCGGATCAAGACACTGCAGCCGGCGCGGCCTGCGGCGGCGGAGCGAGCGCAAACGCTGCGGGCGGTCTGGGCGGTGGAGCGGCAGGTGGCGGGGACCACGCAGACAAGCTGAGCTTGTACAGCGAGACGGACAGCGGCTATGGCTCCTACACCCCGAGCCTCAAGTCCCCCAACGGGGTCCGCGTACTACCCATGGTGCCGGCGCCCCCCGGCTCCTCTGCCGCGGCTGCCCGAGGCGCCGCCTGCTCCTCGTTGTCGTCCTCCTCCAGTTCCATCACGTGCCCGCAGTGCCACCGCAGCGCCTCCCTGGACCACCGCGGCCTACGCGGCTTCCAGCGCAACCGACTGCTGGAAGCCATCGTGCAGCGGTACCAGCAGGGCCGCGGGACCGCGCCGGGGGCGTCTGCAGCCGTGGCGGTGGCCGTTTGCCAGCTGTGTGACCGCACCCCGCCGGAGCCGGCAGCCGCGCTGTGCGAGCAGTGCGACGTGCTCTACTGCGCCGCCTGCCAGCTCAAGTGCCACCCTTCCCGGGGCCCCTTCGCCAAGCATCGCCTGGTGCAGCCGCCGCCGCCGCCCGCGCCACCTGAAGCGGCAGCGGCTCCGCCCAGCGCCGCTGCGACCCCCAGCACTGGCAGTGGCTGCAAAAGCCCAGGGGGCACTGGGGCCAGCGCGGCCCGGAAGTTTCCCACGTGTCCGGAGCATGACATGGAGAACTACAGCATGTACTGCGTGAGCTGCCGGAGCCCGGTGTGCTACCTGTGTCTGGAAGAGGGCCGGCACGGCAAGCACGAGGTGAAGCCTCTGGGGGCCACGTGGAAACAGCACAAGGTGAGCGCTGGCAGCGCCGCCCAGGCGCAGCGCGGGAGGGACCCTTGGCCTCTTATGCAAAGTTGGCAGAGGGTTAGCCTTAGGGCCACGCAGGAGCATCCTCGTTCATTCATTCATTCCAGCAGTTTACGATTAACCGGTGTTTATGAATCAGGTACCCTGAGCTGGTCATTGCAGTTGGGAAAGATATGAGAAAATAACTCATTAAGTCCCCTCCCACTGGAAACTGTGATTGTATACAAGCCACCCAATTGCAGAAGCAGGGCTCTCACTCCCAAAGGCTAGTAGGGTACCCTGGAGGCCCTTCCCAATTAAGCCAAATAGGGTCTTCCCTCCATTTGAAAATAAATGCATTTTTAAAGTGCACATTACCACCTGGCTGAAGAAAACTGTCTGGGGACTTCCTGCTCAAAATCTGCTCTAAGGTGGGAGTTTGCACCCCAGCCCTGCCTGGAGGGATGCACTGTTGCCTGTTCAGCAGGACACCCTGTCTTCCAGAGCAGGAATTTTCCTACCCTCAGCTGTTCTTCAGCACCTTCTGTCCTCAAAATGCCTTTCAGCCTAGAGGGCAGATGCCTCCTTGGCACATCTGGGGTTGTGCCCTTTCAAGAAGGGAGTGTTTTCCCCAGAGACTCTCTCTTGCCTGGGACTGTATCACTGGGCCAGTGGGATAGGGGTGGAGTCATAGGTGATCTCTTAATAAGGGGACCAGGCACACCTCTCCACAGCCTTCTTCCCCTGGGACTTGCTGGCAGCAGGAAGCAGAGTGTCAACCCCAGAAACTTACGCTGACAGATTTTGTTTGTTTTGTTTTGGCACTGGAGATGGAACCCAGGGGCATTTTACCACTGAGCTACATCCCCAACCCTTTTTAAATTTTTTATTTTGAGACAGTGTCTTGCTAAGTTTCTTAGGCTGGGCTTGAACTTGTGATCCTCCTGCCTCAGCCCTCCAAGCCTCTGGGATTGCAGGCATGCACTACTGCATCTGGCTTGTCTTCCTATCTTATACTTCAAGAAAGAGAAGAAACTATCAATATTTGCTTAGACCCTTCACCAGGCCCCAAAGGCAAGGCTGGAGTCAGCTCTAACCAATACTTAATCTCCCACCCAAAGGCCCAGTGGGAACCTGGGTTCAATACCTTCGGAGGTATTGGGCTGGGCAGGTTAGAGCCTATTGTCCAAGGTTCCCCAGTGCCCCTGGGCTCCTGATACCCTCATTCATGGACTCTTTCCAGTAAGCTCTCATTCTAGAGGAGGTAAGAGGTCTCCATACCATCCAACGGGAAATACTGTATGTGTTTTGATTGGAAAATAGAGCAATTTTCCAAGGCTACCTTATCACCCAACTAGGAACAGGCAGAAAGGGCCACACAGAAGAGAGGAAGAGACAACTGTTTCTGTACAGATTTGTTTGTATGTATATGAAATATACCCAGTTACTATATATAGTTTCATCTACTATGATGAACATGTGTTGTTATTGTAATTTCACATTTTAAAATAAAAAAAATAGAAGAAACAAATAGGGAACACTTGAGGAATCCCCCTTGGAGAGGAAGATTTGCATGTGGATCTGAAGGAGGGAATGGGCCAAGTCCATGGTCCTAGAGCAGTGGTTCTCTGGGGGGCCCATGTGCAGATGTCCCACCCCACCCAACAGTTTTGGGAACCTTCAGGAGTTCATTAGCAACAAGGAAGCATGGCCCAGGAGGCTGCTGAGAGCCAGAGTGCAAAGTTCCCAGACACTTACCCAGCCTCAAATGCCAACAGTACTGCTGGTGAGAAACCCTGCTCTGAGGTTGCACAGCCCTGCATCTCTCTAGAGCCTGCAATTTACTAGTTGAATGAGTTTAGGTGATTTTAATCTAAAACGTTTTGAAAGTTATATCTAAGTGGATCCTTGTGGGTGGATTAAGCACAATTCTGTAGGTCTAGCCTCCAGCATACTACCCGACCCATTAAGTGGGATTGCTTTTGCAGTCCTGACACTTCAAATCAGAGGACTTGCAGAAAGCTGCAGGGCAGCAGCCTGAGTGCTGTTTTGACCTCACTGACTTGGTTATCTGGAGAAAATGTGAGCGGGTAACTTTGGGGTTTCTTGTGGTGAGCCCCCTCCTAGCCTCGAGCTGATTGGGGACACCTGGCTTAAGTTCATTTTTTCCCATATGGCCCTTTGTTACATATACTTTGCAGGAATTGTAGATGCCTTACTTATTTCATCTTTTAAGTCAATCGACATCATTTTACAAATCAAGAAATCATTGTAAAAAGGCTGTGATCAATTACCAAGACAAGAAGCATGAGTTCTAAATCTCACATTCTGGTTTCACAAGCTGTTATGTTTTCACAGCCTAGAGAGCCAAAACCAATTTTGGGTATTGCCACTGAAGTGTTCAGAATAGTGAGGACTGGAATGAAGGAAAGTCGATATGAGATTTTGCAGTTGTGAGAGATTCAGCATCTTGCATGGAAGAGGTGGATAATGAGCTGTGGTGCCAAGAACCAAAGCCATGCAGGGAGACTCAGTGGTCACCCCCAGTTTGGTGTCAGTGTATAAAATCTCTCCCCAACCAACAGTGCGCCAGCGTGAGAAGCAGCAGCCAGGTGTCAGCTCAGGAGTGGGCAGGGTCACTGTGACTGTGCAGATTCTTGCATCTGAATTTTGTATCTAGTGCTGCTGCTTCAGGGACAGCCACGTCCTCCTGAATGGAGCCGGACACTGCGAGGTAGTTCTGGGGAGCTTGTGTTTATGACTGCAGGCAGGCGCTGCCGCCGTTGTTTTCCTACAGAAAAGGAGGTTGTTGAGCATGTGTTGTGGTGTCCAGGGACTGGACATGAAAAGACACATGGGGGAACTCATGGCTTAGCTTTGGAGTAGGCACCAGGGCCACCCCAGCAGTGAGGGTGGCTACTGAACGATTGCCTGCACACTCCCACTGGGCCATCCAAGTTCTTGTGAACCTTAACATCTTCGGGTTCTTGTTTTCTGTCTGAAACCCCAGCTCCACACTGGACCTCCTAGCTGCCAGTAGGACTCACCCCAGGCTCCTGGGCCCGGAGGGCCTCCCCCGCAGGCTCCCTTCGCCCAATTTCCTCTCCGACTAGCGATTCCTAAGGGAGGAGATACCCAGGTCTGTTCCAAAGCAAGGTTGATAATCACCTTTTAAACACAGAAATCTTTAGATCTTGGCTAAACAAATTCTATGTTGATTCCCCTGGAAGAGGATTAACCATTTCTAGGAGCTTCTGACCTGAAGAAGACCCCAGTGGTGAGAAGACCACCACTTTCCAGACAGCATTGCCTTTTTTGCTACTGATGGTAGAGTTCTGCTTCTCCTGAAGCCAGGGGGAAGGTCACTGTGGCCTAGCCTGTCACAGGCCTCGATCACATCTGAAAGTCCTGCTTCAGGGGACTCTGGCTGATGGGTGCAGGTGGTTGGCCCTGAGTTAAGGTAAGGACACTGTTCCCAGCTGAGGATGTGGGACACAGGCTAGGCCTCTCCATAGAAGCGCATTGAGCATCTCACTGGTGTCCCAGGAATGCTGCTCCGGAGTGAGGGATGGCTCAGCCTGAAGACCTCAGGAGAGTCGGGACTTCCCTCTGGCCTGGAGGCTGTGCCAGGGGCCATGGCTTCCCAGCACCATCAGCATGTTCGGTAAAAGAAGTATTGAGGGGTTTCAAGCCTCCAGGAAAGACATCAGAAAGACCACACATGCATGGCAAGGCTGAGCTGTGGCCAGCTGCACCCGGCCATGGGGGACTCACTCCAACAATTGCAGCCCCGTGTTACCAGTAGGGCCCTCTCCTGAAAACTGCAATTACAGAGGGAGAAATGTGGCCTTAACTGTCATCTGCAAATTCTAATTTCAGAGGGAACACATCTAATGTGGTAGATTTTTTTCCTTCTGGAATTGCTTTGACACTCTTTTTTCTTCAAACTGCAATATAAACTTCTTTACTAATGGTACAAATGCATGGTTTTCCATGGCTGTGTGCCATTCTATTGAAGGGTTATATTTTAGTTAATCAATATGTTAGTGCTGTGCAGAGGTTTCAGTCTTCAGCTGTGCTGGACGTTTCTCTGCTAAAACCCATACCTGACACTCCTGTTTCCTTGGGTTAGATTAGCAAGTGTGCGATTGCTATATCAAAGGGTATCCATCTTTTAGATCTGAGTAATATCTCCAGATTACTGCCTGTCCTGTTGTTTCTCCCAACAGCAAAATTATGTCAATAGTAAAAAATTCACAAGGTCGGGGACCAGTAGGGTAAAGCACTGGTGTGGGCTGTCTTACTTCTAATAATTGTTTTCTGCAACTTTCACTTCATTTTTGTTAGAAATAGAGGGGATCACAAGTATCTAGACGTCCATATTCCTAACTAGTCAGGGGCCTTCTTCTCTTCAAGAGTTGATTTAACACGTACAGCTCTGCTGCCCTGTATCTTGGATTTCAGGGTCTCCAAGGTCCACCTGTGGTCTTTTGGAGTGGGGTTGGGTGGCCATAAGAAACAGTTAGAGAGAGAAAAGACGTTGGCCAGTGACCTCCAGGAAGTCTGGGGCTCCAGCCTGCCTGCCTTTGCTGGCCTGGGGTCTGTGCACTCTGAGGCAGAGCCTGGGGTGGTGGGGAGCTAAGCCTTTCACTGACTCTGAAGTTCTGGGAAAAGAAGGCTCTATGTGCCTGGCTGGCTCAGAGCCCACGGCAGGGCTGCCAGTCCTGGAGATGTGCCCATGGTGGTCCTGGGTGCCAAGGTCAGCACTGCAGGAACCACCACTGGAAAGAGAGCTCAAGTCATGCCCTCAGAGCCACCTCTTCCTTACCGCCCCACACAGCTGGGAAACTATATGGGAGAGGCCAGAACCCACAGCTTAAAGGCCTTCCTCTTGTCTTTGAAGACTATTTGAGAGTTCGAGGAGTTCGGAACTGAAGTCAGCCTCAAAGTGTATGACAGGAGGTCCCTCTTGTCACCAGTTATGAGTATGCTAATAGTATGTACCG